CAGTGGGTGCTGTTACACAAAAACCGCGATAGAGTGAAGCCGCGGGAGTCGAAGCGCGAGGTGGCGAGGGTTCACTGTATAGTTATTTCACTTAAACATTTTTTTCTTTCTGGCTAGTAATATGAAATTCTTGGAAATAGAAGTTTTGCAGTCATCTGGTCTAATCCGTTCTCACTCCAAGAGCTATGACAATTAAGGGTCGCACAAGTAGGGATCTGTGAATAGGAAGCACATCATCCACCATTTTAGTGGGTCTGAAATGTTATCCTTTTGCCAGGAGAGCTTTGAATCGATGGCACTTGTTTCTTAGTGGCGAGCTCTCAGAGGTTTGAGAGGTAGGTGATTTGAGGCCATTCAGCCACATGCTCCTAAGTTAGCTCTGTTATGTTGAATGACTAACTGACACACACAACCAAGGTCATGTCTTTACTGCTGATGTTGACTCAATTCAACCAAGATGCCCGTAACATAGAATCATCATTTTTCATCCTCTTTCCCAACGGATGCTTATTTGAATTTATCATTGTTTTTCAACTTAATATTATATACGAACTAAAAACATCTGAGTTTCAGTACTGAAGTAGCAGTTCAATACTTTACCATTTTTTTACAGTAACTAAAGGACACACTTATACTATTCTTAGATGAAAATGTTTTGCGCAATCATCTCACCTAACTAGAGCAATATATGCCTCCCGCCCAAGAAGAAACCGTTATTTGCGGGAAGTCGAGAAGGAAGTGTAGCAGAGGGAGGAGCGTCTCCAGAGGCATCGGTTGTTGGTCAGAAGGTCTCAATGGCTCCCTCCATTTAGATCCTTTTGCTGGTTGCACATTCAAACTGATCGAAAGAGCTCTAGCATTTGACAGTTCTAAGCCCCTTCAATATCCAGGATTCCATTTCCAAGTGATAAAAAAGCTGACTTATAATGCATATTATGTAGTTCTCTTCCCTCAGGATGTGGTTTGCAAACTGGAAGTTTGAATTCCAGAGTGGAAAGCCTATGTTGAGGAGACAGGACAAAGAAATCGGGAGGAGAAAAAGGAAGGATCTTTGGTGTATGATCAAGATCTGGTGGGAATATTTTTAAGATGTAGGTGCTATTTTCTGCACTCAAGGAATTGATTATCATCCTCAATCGTGTTACTTTGGGAATTATTTTTAGTTGTGAGCATTCGATGGCATATATACATAGACATGCATATATATATACATATATATATGATCATCTTGCTGATAGAAAGCAGGGAATATAACTCCCATAGCTTCTCTGCACTTTCTTTTTGCCTTGAGGAGAGTTTGGCTTCATGCTAAAGTGTGAAAAAAAAAAAAGCCTGACTGTAGTACGTCAGGCATATTTCAGCTCGATTTGTGTCAACCCTAATAAGTTAGTTGACAGTATAATAAATTGGGTGTCTGCTCGAGATCTGGCATCTGTACAGGAAATTAAAAAAAAGGGATTTCAAGTACGGGCAGGTTCTCTTTGTTTTATAAATGGAAGCTTTTCAGAGACCTTCTTTTATTAAATCCTAGTATCTTAGTGCTTATATCAAGTTGAACTGACAAAGAAGATAGCAAGTTAAAAGTATATATGCTGAACTGTTGGGACTTTTAAGAAACAAGTGTTGATGCTTACTGTGTTTACCTATTTGCCTTCAGTGCTGTTTGGTTGGCCTCTAGGAAGATCTTAATATTCATTTCCAGAGTGCTTGAGCAAACCTCTCAATGTATCTGCTTTGGCACAAGAGCTAGAGTTTATATTAGAAGCTGGCGATTATTTCAAGTTCTTGCTTCATTATTATTAGGGTTCATTTTTCCGTGTGATCAGAGCAGTGATTTTCAAATGAGGCTACTCCCTCCCCTGACCCCATTTGCCAGTCAAGAGTTGGCATCATCTGGAGACAGTTTTGTTGTCACTACCAGACTCGGTGGTGGTGCTCCTGTTATCAAGTTTATAGAGACAGGGATGCTCTTAAACCTTCTAGAATGCACAGGACGCGCCCTTATCATAAAGGGTTATTTGGTCCACAGTGGCCATTATGCCATTGCTGACAAACTCTAGCCTAAAAATTTAAAGTTGTCAACCAAACGTATAAGCTTTTTTGTTTTGTTTTGTTTTAACTTTGATCCCTCTATTTTGAGAAATATATCTTGGTAACCATCTGGAAGGTTGGTTTTAGGTTTCAGGTTCTTAGGATCCTTGAAATTCCAGAACAATATGGGGGTCTCAGCCCTTGGCCTGCCCTCCAATGTGGGATCTCATGCCTCTGTGTGTGGACATCATAGATTGTCCAAGTTCTGTCTTCATATCTGAAAACAGTTATATTTGTCCAGCTTGGTAGGCGTAGGAGTTGGCTCACCTAAAGAGGCTTGGCCTTAGGAGAATTGGATCAGAAAGAGGTCCCCACAGGCACTGAATTCAGATTTAAAAGTGATTTAACAAAGGATTCTAAGGTTTCCAGAGTGTAGCCTGAGTGGAGGCAGAGGTTGTGAGTGGGCAGTTCTTTGGACTGTAGGCTTTTTCTCTTTCAGGACGTACAGGCAGACTGCTTCTGCCAGCATGCCATCTCAAATTGAAAATCAAATTTTAAACAATGACAAGTTAAATTTCACGCAAATATATATATGCACATACACACATTTGCCATTTCTATTGTTATTTATATTAACACAGCTGTGGAGTAGTCAAGTAATTTATTTTAAACAATACCTTGAAAAATGAAATGTGTAAGAGGTTCTTTTAAAGTTTTCTAATTAAAGTTGAGAGAAGAGTAAAATTAAAACCCATATCTCTTAAAGATCCAATACCGTGATCATTTAAAGATACAGAATATGAATTTTAATGGCATACTAATTAGAGATGCTTCTTCAACTTTTACCCCCATTAGAATATTTTATTCTTTGCTAATATTATCCACAAACTTGATAGTGATTTATTAAAAAGTATTTATTTGTAGAGTGAATAATTCACTTCACATTTTAATGATCAATAAGGAAGAAAGTTCACTTGGTCAAATTTGCAAAATGGACAAAGTTATTGTCTTAAGGCTGATCACAGAATAATTAAGAGAAAACAATATTAGACTTTATAACACTTAATTATGTTATGTGTAATTATGAAATCTCTTGAAATACGATTTTCAGAAGTTTGATATATTCTATAGTATAGTTTTTGTTTTCTTTACATTCAGTTTCCATTCATATTGATTTTCATCAGCTAATACTTCAAGACCTCCTTGCTGTATCCTCTGCGCATTGCGGATGGTGGATAAGCTTTCCATCAATCCTTATGCCACGTTCCTTTCCAGACAGTCTAGTTTTTTGGATTATTTGCTCAGCATACAGTTTGGTGACGTAAAGTGAAGGGATAAAACCCTCCTACTCACCTTTGCTGGTATTTTATATTGTCTCATCTACATGTGAAAGTTAGACAGTGATTAGAGATGACCGCAGAGAAATGGATTCATTTGAAGGGTGGCGTTGGTGAATATTGCCAGTGCTGTGGACTGCCAGAAGAACACATATGTTTCTTGAAAAAAGTGAAAGTACAATGCTTCTTAGAAATGAGGACAATGAGAATATGCCTCATATACTCTTGTTGTGTTATTGGGAGAGACCAGTTTTTGGAAAAAGGATACAATATTTGGCAGAGTGTCCCTGAAAAAGCGGAAACGACTCCAGGAGACAGTTTGATGTGGCGGCGAAAACACGGAGCTCCCACAGGACGACTACCGCGAGGATGCGCGGGACCAGGCAGCGCTTCGTTCGGTTGTGCTTGGCATTGCTATGATTTGGAGCCAGCGATAATAAGGACATAACTTTTATTGTGTGTTCAATAACAGTTGTTCATTTTAGCTAGATTTGGGTTCTTTATTTCTAGGTGGTTATTCCATTTCATCCTAGAGTTCCAGTGTATTTTTTCTGTAAGAAATAATAAAATACTAAGAGAATCCAAAATATTTCCCTAAGTACAATATCTAAAATATTAAAAATACATGTCTTCATATGTCTATATGTGTGAAAGAATGAGGGAAGAGAGAAAGTAGAATTATATAGAAACAGCTTCAGGCTGAAAGTGTTTTAGGGGATTAACATTTGTTAAGGCAAATTTTCAATCCCCTTTAAAAATATGCTGCCAATTTTTCTGCCTTTTGTATGCCCTTCATCAAGTGCTGGTATTAGTTTCTTCATTAAGCTATAGAAATAACAATTACAGAAATTAAGCCTCAGAAGCCTGATGAAATTATGAATAAACACAGCTAGCCTCCAGAGTGCCTATGTGAATAATTTTAATACCAAGAAAATCAAGCAGTATGAAATAAACTAGAGGGAGAATTATCTGATTTTTATATGTGCATAGATTCATTTAAAAACATTACCTTAAATCTAGCCTAATTTCACACCTAATATTTGGTATAATCCTTATTTATGAATTTTATTTTTCCCAGACTGTTTTCCAGGAGCATTGAACTCACTAGTTACATTTATATCTGGGAGAACTACAGACTTTTCAATATGCCTTGGGATTCCCCGTGGACTTGGTACTTGACCTTCTTAGGAGTTGACTTTGGCTACTACTGGTTTCATCGCATGGCCCATGGTAAGTTGCAGACTAAGGCCTTACTCAGCATTTATGTTGAACTCTGCTTGGCACATAGCAGGTATTCCATGAACGAACTCGCGAGTGAATAAAATGATGTCTTTTACGGCATATTGAGATAAATGAAAGTTTGCTTTGAAATATGAATAGATACAATTTGTGGGCTTTTATGAAAAATCTTAGGAAATTATAGGAGGCACTTTCTAACTTGTGGTATCAAATTTAATTTTAAAACTTGTGAAGGTTGATAGATGTAGCATTATTTTAAAGTATACCGCCTAACATTATACTTATGGCATTCTGAGTCGCGTCTCCATTTTCACACAATACTAACTTTGCATTATTCATTACCAAGGGCCACTTTGCAGAGCTCGGCAACAGCACGGGTTCCTAGGTGTTACGTGTGTAGTATACCTTTCTCCTTGGCTCTTTGGAGAAATAGCTCAGCACATGTTTTCCTGGAGCCCTGGGGATTTATTACTTTTGCCCTCATTCTTTCAAAAACAATTGTGGGAACCTACCAGGGTGCTGTCTACCTTCAGAAGATTATTAGTCTCAGCTGGCAGAAAATATTATTTTTGTACAAGACCTGAGTTGATAGACATGCCAGAGCCAAGTTATGATTAGTTGAACTCTGGTATGATCAAAGGAGGCTCCTCTTGTAACTGATTTTGGTATATCTGTCGAGCTGACATCAAGAGATTTTTCAAGGTCCCCTAGTTGACGCAGGTAAGGAGGGAAATATGTTCTTTGAGACATGGGGCCCCTTCCTGGTCTGGTAAAAGATGCTGTAACTGAGCGCCAACAAAGATCTGTCCCGGGAGTGAAGCAGAACCACACGGGAACAGAGCTGTCCTGAAGGGGCTCCACTGGCGATGAGCTGAGCCAGTTAACAGAGCCAAAGCCAACAATGGCTAACCTGACTGTGGAGCACCTGGCAACAGAGAAGTCCAAGAGCAGAGAGACCCCATGGAAGAGAGCTTCAGTGGTGGAGAGCTGGTGCCAGGTGAGCAATTGTTATGTGAGTAAATTGTTATCTTGGCTGTGAATTGGGCCTGTTAGTAGCATAGAGGCTTTGGGCAGAGAACAGATGGTGGGGAGGCCTGGTAGCAAAGAGCAGCTAAGAAAACTGAGCAGAGCAGAATGAAGGCTAAGTTCTGCTGCGCTGATGATGAGTTGGTCCAGTTAGCAATAAAGAGGCAGAGAGAATGGCAAAACGATCAAATCGCAGGGAACAGCTGAAAGAGTTGAGGGGCTGGTACACTGGTTACAAGATTGGCCAGCTAATGGTAGGGAGGCCAATAGTAAAATGGCCAGTGGTCCCAAGCCTAACAGAAACATTTCCACTGACAAAAAGGTCCCATTACATAGAGTTCTCATGGGAGAGAGGCTGCTGGTAGAAGAGCAGCAACCGGGAAAACTGAGCAGGCTGCACCCTTGGTCATGAGTTTGACCAAATAGTAGCAAAGAGCTTGCCAGCAGAGTGGCCAACAATATTGACTCTAATGGTAGAGAGGCCTGCATGGTATAGAAAGCAGCCACCTAGCAAAGTATCAAATTGGGGCACCCACGTGGCAGAGAAGGCAGATGCAGATAAGCCATGCCCACTGTCCTCAAAGAGATTACAGTGGCACTGGCTGAAAACAATCTTAGCCAGGCGTTGATCAGCTCCTTGGGTCTTTGCCACTGAGAGATCAGACCTGGTCAGAAGCTATTCTGCACTGGAGAAGGGATCACTGGGCTCGCCATTCAGGGGGTCCATTCCAGATCTTGCCTGTGTGCTTTCTGAGGTTGATGCCAACTTCTGACTGTTACTTCTAAGTTTATTCTAATCCTGAATTGCAGCCAGTTATTTCCCTAATAAAGTACATGACTGTGACTATGGTGTGCGAATCCTGTGTGTACATAGCAATTAATTATTAAACTCAGGAGATGGCAGATAATTGGGGGTGGAGGAGTAGGTGTGCCAGAAATTATGGAGAACTTGGAAGACTAACCTGATCTCTCATAAGAACAAACTTTATGTGGGTCCTGTTTTTACTCCTCATGAATTTAGAGAATTCATTGCATATATATGGGGCATTGTAATATGTAAATTTGATCCAATTCCTTGGCAGCACATCCACATTGCACATGAAAATGCTGTCAGCTAGGCAATAAGAAACATGCACTTCAGGGTTAGCATAGTTTTATAACAGCTCTCTTCTAACACAAAGCCCTCCTACTGCACTGGTTCACTGAATTTTCTTTTGGAATTACGCATCCACTGCATATTGGAAGGAAATGAATTACTTTGAAAGGGGGACGCAACTAGAGAGCAAGAGCTGAATTCTGAGCCTCCGTAGTAGGACATAAGGGTTAGAAAGCATGCAACTAAGGAGTCTGTCGTCTTTGAGAAGGAATAAGGCATAAAGAAGTATTTCTAAAGAAATGTTTAGCAACATAATCATTTTAGGAAAAAATGAGGAGCAAAACGCAGGATCTCGGTGAGTGGTTGATTTGAGTGTGTGGCAAGGAAGAGAGGAAGAAAAAGAAAACTGGAATCATCAGACCCGAGGTTGGAGTGAATGGGGGTGAAGTGTGTGTGACAGGGATATTTATGAGCAATATCCTTCCCACACAAGGATGTGAGATACAGGAGTAGAGTCAACAAGTGTTACGCTTGCAGGTGCTACATTTTAGAGATAACACTGTTTGCGCTCCACACTTTAAATGTGTGCATTGACTAAAATGTTGGGGGGACCCTACTGGCACAATGGTTATGAGATGGGCTGCTAACTGCAAGGTCAGCAATTTGCCACCACAGCCGCTCTGCAGGAGAAGGGGCTTTTTACTCCCTTAAAGACTAACTGTCTTAGAAACCATCAGGAGCAGTGTTACCCTGTCCTAGAGCATCACTGTGAGCCGGCATAAACTCTGTGGCAGTGAATTTGTTGTTGTTTTTTAATAAGATCTATTAATTCATGAAAAAAATTGCAGTAAATCTGTTATCTAGAAAAAATATTTTGTATTGTAACCATTGTCTTTGAAAATGTAAGCCATTTTATCTCATGGTTTCCTTGAATATATTGAAAGAGTACTTTCTAGCCAAATATGATTAAAAAAAATTACAGTGTAGTTGTAACCTCTCTAGTCTTTAAAAGTGGTGCTATTCTCCCTAACCCTTCCTCCCTCATTGTCTGATCGCATGTATATGAGGTGCACGGAAATGCATGGTCTGGATCAGGCACAACGGAGCTTTCAAGCGACATCCTTGCTCTTTAATAATTGAAAGAGGTCTTGTGCGGTAGATTTATTCAATGCAATATGTCATTTGATGTAATACTCTTTCCCTCAGTCCTCATGCCTTGTTCTTCCTCATATTGTCCAGATTATTTGCTGAGCATACAGATTGAATAAGTATGGTGAAGGCATGCATCCATGACACACACCTTAAATGTTTGTAAACCATGCTACATCATCTGGTTCTACTCCAGTCAGTGTCTCCTGGCTGATGTACAGGTCCTATCTAAGCACCAGGAAGTGTCTGGAATCCCATTCTTCTCAATGTTATATAGTTGTTATGATCCATGCAGTTAAATTTCTTTGCATAGTTAGTAAAACACAAGTAAACATCTTTTGGTATTCTCTGATTTCAGCCAAGATTCAGTTGGCATCAGCAATGATAACCCACTAACTATGTACTCTTGGGAATCAAGCTTGAATTTTTGGCAGCTCCACTTTGATGTACTTCAGCAACTGTTGTTGAATTATTTTCAACAAAATTATACTTGCATGTGTTGTTAATTACACTGTTTAATGATTTCTGCATTCTGTTGGGTCACCTGTCTTTGGAATAAACACATTGTGGATCTCTTCAGTCTTTTGGCCAGGTAGCTCTACTCTAAATTTCTTGACATGGTGGAGTGAGTGCTTCCAGGGCTTCCTCAGCATATTGTAGCATTTCAAATGGTATTCAGTCAATTTCTGGAGCCTTGTTTTTTCCAATAATGCTTTCAGTGGAGCTTGGACTTCTGGTATCATTCATTCTTAATCATATACTACCTCTTGAAACAGTTAGATGTCAGTTAGTTCTTGTTGATAATTGACCCTGTACATTCCTCCCATCACCTTTTGATGCTTCCTAAATCATTCAACAGTTTGCCCATAAAACAAAGAACCATCAAGTTGATTCTGACTCATAGCAAACCTGTGGGTCAGGGTCGAACTGCCCTTGCGGGTTTCTGTGACCATAACTTTTTACAGGACTAGAAACCCTTTTCTTTGTCCTGTTTAGCAGCTGGTGGTTTCAAATGGTAGACACTGAGGTTAGCGGGTGTATTAGTCTGGGTAGACTAGAAAACAAATTCATAGACACACTCGTGTATAAGAAAGACCTTTATATACAAGAGCAACTGTACATTAAGAAAACAGCCCAGCCCAGCCCAGATCAAGCTTATAAGTCCAATATTAGCCCATATTTCTGATACCAATCTATAAAGCCCTCTTCAGACTCATGAAACACATGCAATGACACTTAATGCAGGTAGATCAGCCAGTGGGTGGGAAGTCTTGTGGATCCAGTGGCTTTGTAAGCATCTCATCACTGGCAGGGATCTCTACGTGGCTTCTCCAATGGTCTGGCTCCATCAATCTTTCTCCATTTGTCTTCTCCACAAAATGTCTCACCTCCAGGGAGCTATTTATCTCCTTAGCGCCTCCAAATGAGGTCATCAGTCTGCAACCTGATTGACAGACTAAACTCACCCCTTCACTCTTAATCCTCTCAAATTGACGACAGATTATATAACTGCCACAACAGGCCAACATATTACAATTGGAGGCTTGAGATGTTTTTGTTTTCGGCTCTTTCAGTTTGAGATATGCCAAGTTTGTTCTTCGTTTTTGGGTTTCTAACTCCAGATCTTTGCACTTTTTATAATAATACTTTGTTTTCTTGAGCAGCCATTTTGAAATTGAATGCTCAGCCCTTTTGCTTCATTTCTTCCATTTTTCCATTT